CTAACAAATAGTTTCCTCTAAGTGTACTCAGACTTGATGAACACCGCTTAAGAAATAGGACCAGCAAGTAAGTTGGCAGACTTAAAAGCAATCCAGGGTGAGGGAGAAGAGTTTGTTGCAAATTCTACTTACAGTCTCAAGGGCTGGCACGTAACCTTTCTACGTTGCCCGTACGCTCACACAGTAACTTTGAAAGGTTCGCTACCGGTTGTTTCTCACGTATGTGTAGGAGCAAATTAACTGTCATTCTTTGATCAAAATACAGACCTTGGAGTTATGCCTTTTCCAGTGTAGAACTTGGCACTAATTCACCTGTTGTTGCTGTATTTATGACCCAGTCCTTTGGAAAAATACGTCAATCTTGGTGATGGAAAATGTGCGTTATACAGAAGTACTTGAAAAACAAGTTTTGCAATAAATTTTCATACTGAGAGTACACACATTAGGTACTCTACTGCTGCACCTCCTACGAGGCTTACGTGAAACCAGCACAGGCACCTGCTAGGTTTTAAGCTGCACTGACATGAAGGCTTTGTTAGATCAAGAGTGTGCTTTTGAAGCAGGTCGCCCAGTTGTCCCTGTTTACTGTGCTTTTTACGCAATGTCGAGTGGTCTCCCAGTACGTGAGTCACACTCCTTTTAGATAAAGCTGCAGCTCATGGATAAAAGGCACGATCTGATGTGCTGCGAACGCTAATGAACGGGCCACCTGTCCGCAGGATCACAGGGGAGTGAGCCTGGAGGACACATCTCCAAAAAGCATACTGTGGATGCCAGGCACTGAGCTTCAGGTATTCTGTGCTCCAGGTGAATTACTACTGCGACGTGTTCATTTTTAACGTAGGCAGAGACTTGTCATGCTCCAAACAACATCTTTTTCTGTGTAATTACCAGAGTCGTCAGGCATGTTCAGGTACGTTGTTATAAGGGGTCGCTATTGCAAGCTATCAGACTTTACCGTGGAGAAAAAAAGATCAGTCGGTGTGTGCTATTCCCTGTTTTTACCAGTGTGCTTCAAAATGCTGGGCAGCAACAATGTCAGTGTTTTCTACCCGAGGTGCTTCTATGTTACTCCTAAGCCTGTAATACAGGCTTTTTCCGTTACTGGACTTGCACAGAAGCAGCGTATTGAGAAGCAGATTCATGCAGACACACACACACATCTATGTATGTGATGTATGTAGGTATATACATACATATACACACATCAGGTATATATACAGAAGTGTGCACGCATCTGATGGGCTCTTCCCTTCAGAATACATGACATTCCCGTACTCGATGAAGCACCGAAGGTCAGTTGGTGGCTGCAACGCACTATTGCCGCGCCTCCCCGCCAGCCCTCTGCCACGCAGCCTTACTGGTTTGTGTTCGAAGAGCTGGAAGAGCAACTCTTTAGAGAGGGGAAACGGCCTCACTGGTTGGAGCGAGGCCAGAACTTCACCCGGACTTTGTGAAGCAAGACCAAGAAGGCTCCCTGTGAAGCGTAAAACCCTGCGTACAGGTATTTAATTACAGAGTGAGAGTTATTTCCCAGCTCATACAAATTCCACTTAGGCAATGGTATGTGTATCAATCATAGACACATCATACCATATGTTGAAAATGTTACAATAAGGGTGCCTTGTTACAACCAGCTCAACTAAAGCACCAGTCTGAGCCATTTTCCCTTTTCTGAGTACTGGGAACCTCAAGCTGGCAATATTACAACTCATTGCCAGCCCCACCTCTGAAGAAACACAAACTTAACTAGATGGTATATGAAGAATATTTCTTTTAGGAAAGTTACAGTTCTAGAGACACAACCTCACGCTTTTTAATGCACTGCTTCCTCACTGGAAATTGTCACACAAAATACAAATACAGAGAGTAATAAACTTCAAAATTAGTATTGACCATTTCCCCAGCATCACTATGAGATTTTGGTTGACTCCCAAGTATAGGGAGGAGTTTACACTGAAGCCATTTCACACCGTGAAACTGAGTAGGCAAGCAATTAACAATGATTTCAAAGATGTTTTTACAACAAGGTTTTATTCTATTAAATATGAAAGAGCGTACATACAGGTGTTATTCCGAGGACATAAATTACACAAGGATTACACGTTCTGTCAGAAAAGCACAATAATGAAACATCTTTACATTTCAAACTTTTCTTGTTAACTTTTAACAAATGAGTCTATTTCTGTTGCAAACAAGTAACGAGTGCTATTGAACTTTTGCAAATTCCCACAAAAACATCATGCTTAGTAGGATACTTTAAATATTGTAAAGATGAAATCAGATTTAGTTTTCTAAATAACAAGATGGAAGAGATTTACTACTTAATCAAGATAAATGACACACTGAAATAGGAGCCGAGACAAAATTGGTCATTCATTAAAAAAAAAATTCCACTTCAGACACTACATTTGAGTGTGCTTTCTTTACTTGCAGGAATAGTCACTCTGATTATATGCATGAGTAATGAGCAGAACTGGCCCTACATATTTATAAACGTAACCATCAGATTTTAGACGTGCTGGTTTTTCTAGTTCACTAATTTTTCCCACTGCAAAAAAACCCCACACCCACGAATCTATTTTGCTTACAATTCAAAAGGTTGAAATCCGGCTCTTCTGCAGAGGGCCAACCAAGCCTATGTATGATTTCCATGTCTTCCATGGTCATCTGCAGAGGGGGCTACTGCATCCTACGTATGCATTCTGGGTCGTCACTGAAGTACCAGACGGAGCTACCGCTGATTTGTGAGAGCAGTACGAGGCTGTAGAGCCCAAATGCACTGTCTTTTTAAACTTCAGGTAAACAGAAATGTAATTTTATCGTAGCGAAAGCTCTCAGTTTGACATTCAGGAGACTACTCAGATAAAATATGTAATAAGCATGTAGTTTGGGTTGTGTTGCTATAGGGATTAACTGAGGTGTTTTAATATATCAATACAAACATTAATGGAGTGAAACAGACAAGCTAATGTTACCGCAGGCTGTAGTTTAATTTTCAAAAGGAGTAATGAAACACAATTTCTAAGAATGGTAATTTTTGCACTAAGGACTTCACATTTATTTTTAAAACCACCGAAGTGGGGTAATATTCCTCATAGCTTTCAAAACTTCCTGCAAAAACACAGCTTGAGCCTGCAAACAGTAGAATATACAAGCAGTCCCAGTGACCTCCAAGGTAAACATTCCCATATGGCAAAGAGCACCAGGAATCTCTCTGCTTTTTTCAGAGAATGCTCAATAAAAGTGCAATGTAGTGAAGCAAATAATCTAATTATTATGCTTTCCTTAATAGATGAAAAATGTTCAGATATTTTATAATTGTGCCTTTTGTAGGGTGGGAAGTCTGGTTTGAGTAGAGTCAGACCACATTTGAAGAGATGGGCAGGGTACTCCCACACGTTTTCTTTCCCAGGGTGGCAACGCCACAGAGCAGGTCTATTGTATAATCCCACCTGCAGCTACAACAGTGTGCTGCCCAGTTTCACGCTGTTATTTCTGTTTTGACAAAAGCTGGCATCTGTTTTGCTTCTCATTTCCACCCAGGCATGTTCTCCCTTTCAGCTCCTAGGCACCCTTCCTTTCCCCACCCAGCCTCTTTTCCTCCTGAGATGTCGGAAGTACGCAAGCTAAGCTTTGGAACCTGAGAATTTGGAGGTATTTTTTGATACTACAGGGCTGCATTTGTACCGTACCATGTTATCTCCCGCTACACTACTACTAGAGTTACAATATAAATCTTCTAACTAGTTGATACCTGATGCCTTTCCCATATAAATAAAAAACAACGTACCATTCAGCCACTAATATATGACACTTGCTGTAAGAGTGACCTTTACCTTCTGCAAGTCCTCTTTTCCAAACAAATGTTGAGGGATCATTTCCAAAAACCCAGCTATGAAATATTCCTTGAAGTAAACAATTTCACAGTGAAATAAAGAAAAATATATCCAGAAAATAGCACTCTCTCAAAATTAAAACTTATATACATCAAGAAGAAGTTGAGATTTTTCCTCATTCTTTTCTCAGTTCTACGTTCTCTGTAGATAAGCGACGTTATCACTAAGAGTTACGAACAGGAAAAACAAGTCGAGTGAAGTAAGTCTCGTGTCTTTTTTAATATTCTTGAGAGATCAAGAAAATTCAGCATTCAACTTCAGAATTATAATTATTTTTAATTAAGGTAGCAAAAGACTGTTTAAGCTTAATTCCCTATGGTTTTGAGTATCCAAGACATAGATCCTTCAATGAACTCTAAACAAGCCATGCCGCTGGGTACAAATTAAGTTTTCCTCCATGGATGGTGTTCAACTGTGAACTCACTATTTATCCTCCTTGGTTTATGATTTGTTTTATAATTCTTAGTAGATGAAGCTGTGTTAATATTTATCACAAATTTGGTGCTATTCTTTAGCAAGACTGAGCTTTAACTGCAACTGTAATGCGCATATATGTATACAAGAATTTATGAGCTGAGTTTAACGTACTAGAACAGAAATATTTAAAACATTAAAATTGTACCTGAACATTCATTTCCTTATCAAGAATCTATGCTGAAGTGTTATTTAATTTTGCATATTAGACTTAACTAAAGAAACACTCCTCTGGATTCATTATAGTTAGTTCTTTTTTCCTATAGAGTGGAAAATTGCCACTCAAAACTTACAAATCTTTGGACAGCTAGTGAGCTCTGATGAACTATTTTCAGCATATTTTCAGCATTTTTGATGAAATTAGTATTCTGCATTGGATGCTATGGAATGCTATGTCAACAGCTTGTATTTTTATCTTTTGGGGTTTTTTTCCCCATTTAACTGAGGTGAGGCTCATGGCAACTTCCATGAAAAAAGATAATTGGACTGAGGTGCTGATGTCCAAGTGTATCTATTTTAAAGAGAAAGATTATTCTCCACTCACATCCAACAAGTATTCTAGTGAATAGCCCTGTAGAAGTCAGTAACAAGTGACAGATCACTATCTTCAACAATTTCACTCCAGGACTATTTTGAATTGTTGTGGATTTTGAAAATGAAGAATAGATTTTTAAAAAAAAAAAAAAAAAAAAAAAAAAAATGCTTTCATGCAAGAAGGAACATTAAACTTGTAAACTGTTAACTTAACTGATGCAAAACAATACCTGACAAGTGCAAACCCATGAACAAAATGCGATCATTAAATACTCCGGTGATAACGTCCAACTCAAACACTTGCAGCCCAGATTTTTAAGGTCATCTAAAAGCCAAAGCTACAGGTAGGCATTTTTTTTAAATCACTCCTCAACACTTACGTGCCTAATTCCGATTGACTGGAAAGCCTAAACTTTCTGGCAATCTGCCAGATGCCTGTCTGTATCTTCAAGTGAACTTAAAAGCTGGTGCATACTACGGTAACAAGGACTTTTCGCAAATTCAGCTACCTGAAGATGAATACCATATTTGTGCCATGCAAAGGACTTTTTTGAAAAAACACTCGGCAATAATTTTCCACTGTTTGACTTACACACAGGCCTGAACTGTCTCCTCCTGTTCTGTGAGAAAAGATGATCAAGATCTAGAAACTTTGCTGGAGTGGGTGGAGGAGAGGGGCGGGAAGCCCGTGCTGGCCTCCGGGGTTTCTCAGTGGAAGACAATGTATAGCATGGCTGTATCATCGTGTTGCTGCATGTATGGATGGTACATAGCATCGTCAATTTTTAATAATGGGCATTTAACAATTGGGACAGTTTAGAGAATGACCTTTCAATTTAATTAAAGCTGTAAAATGGCTTCACATTTCTGGGATTAACCTTTTTAAATGGAGACGGATGTTCCAGAAAGGGATTAGAGTACAAATGAATGGTCCCCCAACTTAGAAACTAAGCAGCTGTAAAAAAAAAAAAAGTTACAATTTTGAAACATAATTAAACTTGCCAATTGTACAGTTTCTTATGCTGACTTTTAAATAATACTAAAATATTTCAGGATTTTGAGTCATTTAAAGATCTGCTCAGTATAACATGATTTATGTTTTCAAACACAAAATTGGTTACTAACATTTACATCAGAAAAACCCACCTGACTTGTTTTGGGAGTGGGTAATTTAAGTGTAACGGACAGTAAGATCACTTTTAACTTTGCATTAAATTGCATCAACCTTCTTGCAAACATAAGCTTGTGATTTCCGCATTTTATTCCCTCACTAGCAACTGAAATGTCTTGCGTTAGAAGTATGTGTTGTTTACATGTTAAATACAGGGTACATAAGAAAAATCTTAGCATGTTTTTTTACAGGGCACCCAACTAAAATCTTTACAAAAGATAAGATAATTATCCATTCTTCAATGTAACAGACACAGATGCCTCTTTTATAAATGTACCCTTATGTTCACTCGCCAATAAAATAGTAAACAAATCAACTTTTTAAATCATTTTTTATAAATTATTAGAGTATTTTTACTGACACTCTCCAACAATATACAAAAATAATACTACAAGAATACCAATCAGTCTGACCTACCCCTCATTTCACAGAAAAGTAGAGGTTATGGAAGGATGTTCTTGTAATCAATCATCGCTGTAGATGTCTCCTGCAAACGGTAGGTGTACGTGGCTGCCCGTGACATTGGGAAGTCGAGAGAGATCAGGCAGGTTCTGGATGCGTGACCTGAGTTCTTTCCGTACCTGGGACACTCTGGCTAGCTTGCGTTTGTACTCCTGTAAAGCAGAAGAATTCAACGTGAGGCTCTTTTGCCAATACCATCCCTACTACTTGCTGCACTTGACATTTTCCAAATAAATTATTCCTTCTGCAAGTTAGGTGTCTAAACATCCTTCAACAGGTGAGAACCCAGAGAATTAGGTATTTTGGAGGCAGAGGCATCAGCTCTAGCATCTTCTCAGCATCTGACTTTGGAAGCATAGCCAGGGGATTATTTTGCTTTGAATTCTAAGTACTAAACAAGGAAGACAATCGCAGTTAACACAACTACATGTGTTTCTCCATGCGACTAGTAGAACAGGATTATTCTCAGAAACTGTATTAAGGATAATTGGTAAACATACTCTACTCACAGACTATGGGAGGATAAACTTACTGCTGTCAAAAAAGTTACTCTCTGCTCATACTGATGAAAGAACAACCAAATACCACCTAACCAGGCTTGTTGATCAGTCCCACCAACCTGACCAATTGTAAGTATACTGTATTAATTTTTATAATAAAAACCATATTGCATCAGTACATTTATGGATCTAACCCTGAGTTTTCAGAAACTTTTTGAACTGGGGACTTAGGTTTTCACAGGTCAAACCACTCATAATTCATATATTTAATGATTATGAGGCACTTTTCACATGAAACAACATTACACAAGATAAAGTATTTAACATTGTAAATCAGCTCACTAGAATAGAGTTAGTGCTCACCTATTACAAATGTGAGACATAATGGAGAAGAACACCAGCTTGTATAAAATGAAAAGTTATTCCAAAACGTAGGAAGATTACGGTACAGTTTACAGGAATATTTACATCTCAGAAACTTGGAATCACATTTTTTTGGGAAGCAGAAGAAACTAAGTATTAGCAGGCAAAATGCAACTTCATGAAAATACACTGTAATTCACAACACATCAAATGCAGATGCTGTCTAGTGCGGCTGCAGGTTTTGCTGCAGCCTGGGAATGGCTGGAAATAAATAGTTCACCTACAACTTGCATAATCAGCTCATGCATGACCAAGATCTCACAATTATAATCACTTCTAAATAATAGTGGGGAAAAAAAATCTACATCACCCTGTAAAAGTGCCAAATATAAACACTTGAAAGGTCCAGCAAGTATAAAAACACCGTGCAAATGTCTATAAAAGGTAACAATCAAGCTATTTACAAGGTCTAAATATAATTTTAAACATTTTTCTATACTGTTAATGTCATGGAATAAAAAGGAAGGCCAACAAAAAGACCTTTTGGCAGAACCAAATACAGTAGGTACAAATGTTAAATACTTGGGGCATGATCAAGATTATTGGACAAGGTCCAACACATGTAAAAACAATTTGTGACTACTAGCAGCAGTGTGGCCTTCTTGCCAAGGGCAGTAAGAGAACCACAAGAAATCTTAAATTCTTAATGAGAAGGTAATGCATAGATAAAAACAAATAATTAAATCTTTACATATAAAGAGAGGAAAAAAGCGTCCCTGAATCAGGAACATCAATTCCTTGATATCATTTATATTTAAAAATGAAATATTACATATAGTTCAGAGTCTTATGAGATACTAAACACAGTGAAAATACTACAGATGCCTGGTCAGCATAACTGTAAACACTTGGTGATGGTACACAGGGCAAAGCAGCGTATCCGTCCATGATACAGATGACCAAAAAAGTCTTACAACTGCAAGTCCCGGAGTCCTAGGAAAACTGTCACTTGCTCACACTTGCCCAAAACATTCTCTCTGGTGCAAGTGACTTTAGGACATGGCTGTGGAAATGAAGGGCTGTATCCTGATACTGTATCCTTACAGTAACACCCAAAGGCCACAAATACTTTACTGTTTCATATCTGATACTACAACGAGCTGATTCTGTGCAAGAGTCATAGTCTTTTGCCAGCAACAAAATACTTCTTGCCCTTTTCACTCTCTATTTCAGTCCAGACTGCAGAGACATACTCCCGACTATTATTTTAGGGAGTAGACTTTAATGTCAAAGGAAAAGATAGTTTTTACTGTTTAGTAAAATGAACAGTTTGACAATATACAGAACACTATTTAACCGGAATCACTATTTTCTGAAGCAGGATGGGTGGAGACTAAGCACTGGGAAACAGGGGCTTTGAGCAAGCTTGAAGCTAGGAGACCTGGCCTCTGTTGTGAAAGACATACTGCTGTACAGAAGAGGATGAGTAGAATTGTAAGCAGAATTAAAACACTCAGAAGGCCCAAAATTAGTAAAAGAAATTAACTATAAAATCATTCCAGCAGTTAATTCTTGTAAATGGTGTTTGAATCAGCTGGATCCAAAGTTCATTCCCTGTCAAGGAAGACTGTGAAGCAGCAAATCAGTATCCCTTCATAAGCTCGAAGCAAATATGCACAGATCACACTTAGCAGCTGTATTCTCTCAAGACTTTACTCCAAAACCTGAAATGTGCCTTAAATTAGATTGCCAGTTGCTTGACTCCATTAAAATTCCTTTTAGCTGATCATTGATAAATCATTTCCATAGTAACATCACATTTCTGACATCCAGCATCTTCCATATAAATTTTGCCTGGGACTTGTTGCCTAGTGATTATCAGCTTGATCAATATCACTGACAGTAGGTTCCTTTTTCTCACTAAGGAAAATGTTCTCATAAATTCGGTCTCCCATACAATACAGTCCTCTTCCTCTCGCCAACACCTTTAGCATAACACACATTCTCAGGGAGGCAAAACTTGTTCCTTGTGCCTTCTCAGAAACAGAGACCTCTGAGGAAGTTTGCTCAAGGTTTTTACTATAAAACTAGAGTAAAAAAAAATACATAAGGTTTTACAGTTCATTGTATTATTGATGCAGTGTAAGCTACAGAATGCAATTTTAATACAATTTTGGCAATCCAAAGCATATGTGAGATCTGCAACTACAGGTTAGATGTCCATGACAATCCTCCCCCACAAGTAGAAATATTATTCACCTTATCCAGTGCAACTAATTTTCCATGACACTCCCAAAACCATTCTAGAAATCAGTGGAAATGTCCAGTTTTCATGACCAGTGAGCAAGTTCAAAAGAGGGCTGATTTTCAAGTACAGTGACTTAGCAGTTTTGAGGTACTTGCAAATGGGCTGCCTTTTCACAGTTTGATTCTATTTAAAATCACTGGTCACTTCTCAAAGGGTTTGCTAATATATTTTTAAGGTTGCTAATATAGTCCTGGAATTAGGACCTAAGTAGCCCTGGACTGTTGGAATACAAGTATCAAATACTCATTATCAACAATACTCATTATATGTACAGCCTGTTTTTATTTTATCGTAATAGCACGCACATGCATCTGCAACCTTTTTCCTCAGCATACATGTTGAGCGTGTGACTTTAATTAAAGCAGAGGAGCGGGAATGGGGGTATCAAGGTGTTATTTCTGATATTGTTGCTCCATTAGAAATGCTGTATACTATATAACCGAGTAACAATTCACCTATATTGTTGACACTAACTGCAGAAATCCTCATGGAGAAATTCAATTTTGTTTTCATTATGTTGATTTTAAGATATATTTCAAATTACCCCTGTGTAAATGAGGCAAGATTCAAGCTATTTACTTCAAATAGTCAAGGACAGGCAGAAGTATGGTGTTTTCTTTTGCTACACTGAGCATAATTTGCATTGCTTGCTACCTATGGAGAACCTCACTCTTGGGATATACGGGCAACCTGATGTACAGAATTAAAGTATCTTCAATTTCTTCAGCAGTCTAAGATAACACTACTTTCAAGCAATAATTTTTTGTACTTCCAGTCATAAAAGTAGCTTTATGAGATAATTAGAAGAACTTATTTTGCTCATTAGAATCCCACTGATTACTACAGTTTCCATTACTCGACAGTGTAGAATATAGATATTTTGTGAAAGCAATGCTAACAACATATGGATTCCACACCTTGATTAATAGTTATTCTCTATCAAATAAGTACCAGGCAAAAAAGCCAAATAATTTTTGATTAGAAGCTACAATCATCATGAATAATAAAAATGTGGGCAGGCCAAACAGGCTGTGCACTGCAGAGAATATTTTCCCTTCCAAGTGGAATAGGCTGAAATAGATCTAAATATAGATTTTCTTCAATTACTGTACATAGGTGCTACAGCTAAAACAACTTGGAACCTCACGGATACGCTCTCCCTTTACAGGATTAATATGACTTTGAACGTTCATCTGATGACTAAGGCTATGGCATGCATCAAAATACTGTGTGGCAGAGAACATATAGCAAAGTGAAAGAAACAAAGTCTGATTCCAAAGGAAGAATAAAAGCGTTGCAGAAAACACAAATATTTAATCTACAACCTTGTTAGCTACAGAAAGAAAAGTAAGGTGGAAATCAATACTTTCAATAGAGAAAAACAAAACCCAGAAGGCTTAAAAGGTTTTTAAGGTGTTGAGGGCATGCGTGTACACCAGCATCCACGGCCTGTACATACATCATATTTAAAACTGAGATCTCGTGACCTTCTAGGTCTGTTCTAACCTTCCAGATTCAGGTGCAGATGTAGGAGCTGGGTCACAGGGCAAAGGCTTCTCATGTGCTGTGTCTGACAGCACAGAAACCGCTAGAAATCTTCAAAGGCTCAGCCCAAGGCAAATGGCATGTGATACCCTGATATCTAGATTTTGAAGTTCAGAAACACAGTACTTGTTTATAGACTCCACCTTGTGAAAACCTGATGCCTCATCCAGTCTGGGTATTTTTCTGCAAGGAAGACTGACAACTAGACTTGAAGGAGTCGGATAAGCCTCACTATCACTCTGAAAAACAGAACAGCAGGGTTAAATTTTGTGCTGCCTTTAAAAATTTGGCATGGCTCACATTCTTCACCAGTATGATTAAAGGCTCAACCTATTCACCAGTGTTAAAGATAAAAAAAACCCCAAAATAACTTTAACTTAAGACACTGAAGAGAGTCTGGACACATCCATACCCTTCACACACACGCACAAGGTTG